ATTACGTTTTAGATACTTCACAGTCATGTTGCACTCGACTACCAACCTCTCCAGCGAAAGTTGTAGATCAGTTTCAGAGGATGTCTCGTCTACAAACAGCAACCTTCTCGTTTCTGCATCACTTGACTGATACGTTCGTCGCACTGGCTGCGCCTGATTATCCTATTCATGTACAATCCAAACAGAAGAGTGGACAGGACTGAAACTTTCGGCCTCGACGAAGACCAGTACCAAGTTTAAAACTTCTGGGATATGTCAACTGTGGAAAAGAATACGAACACTGAGAAGACTTGATTAGCCTTAATCTACTGAAAGAATGGCATGGGTCGATAGCTCGCCTTCTATATCTGATCTGCTGTAGATTTTTGAAGTGCGTTCACCTTTCTGTTGAAGGCCCGTGAGACACCAGCCAAAATGTCTGTACTGATCAATGCAGCTGACCAAATTGTTTGCCGTTGTGCTTTGCTGTTTTCAGTGTGATTGTTATCGACTCAAATACTCTCTTCGACGTTTCCCTCTACACCATATTAATAGTGATTTAAAATTTAGGTCATCTTAATATTGACTGATTTTATTATTTACGTAGAGAGTAAATGTACATAAGTTTTGAAAACTGGTTCATCCGCATCCAGTCTTCTTTATTAACTCGTCACAAATTGACGTTAGTTCGAATATCTGTTTATCCTAAAATCGAAAGATTTCATTCGTCGTTTCGCCGTTTTCGTCTCTTCGCTGCCTACCTGTTGCTCAAGCTCTTCTTCGACGGTGGTCGCTTGAATCTGCTGCTTTTTGAACGTGGCTTGAAGACCGGCAATTTGGGCTTTCTTGGCGCTGGTCATGCTACGGACTTCATGGGTGGCTCTAACGAGGGAGGTTAACATGCATTACTACAAACGATAGCTGGATTATTATAAAGACGAACTCCTCTAGTTTCTCATGCACGTGTGCTCTGATCGCGGCGTAGCGTTCTTTAGACTGCTTGATTTTCGACAGCACCTCTTCGGAGCAATGCTTCAGTGATTCTTCGGCCTTGAATCACATGCGGTTTTACCGTTAGTTTCAGTCACATGCAAACCCGAATTTACTTTTTTGTACTCTGGCAGAAAATTGCTCAATTTCTCGTACTTGAGAGTC